TTTTTATAGGAGGTACCATCACATCCTCTGTTGTCAGTGTATCAAAATCTTCACCGCCCTTGATCTCCCCCAAGCTCTCTGAGGACAAAATCCCAGCAGCAAGTGCACCTTTCTCTGAAATTGATGTGCTTGGAATTTTAACTTGAGGTCCTGACCTGGGTTTCATATGATCATCACTATTACCTATCTGCATACCTTGATCCTTTTCCACTTCATTTTCTACTTTGGCAGATAACCCAGCATTTTCAACGTTCACTGGACCCACCCTATTTTCCAGTTTTTCATTCTCCAATTCAACATCACCTTTTCCTGGTTCTCCAACAACCATAATCTCCTTGGATTCAGGAGTGGTAGAATTATCCAAAGTACCTTTCAGATTCAACTGCCCCTTGTTCGGTAATGATGATGAAGGCCTGCCAAGGGATACAGACAAAGACAAGGATGTAGGCGAGCTTGACCTTAAGTTAGACTTAGAACTTCTGGATCTAGAATAATGTGATACTGGAGTGGACCTTAAATTAGAAGATGACAAGCATGCTCTAGATGATACGGACCTTGATCTAGACTGTGAAATTGACCTTAGCACATGCTCTAAGGATTTAGATTTTGAGCGTGATCTGGATGCATTGTAACCAGGATGAAGTGGAGAAGAAATTGGCCTTGCTTTCTTTTCACTACGTCTTTTAGGAGTTCCACCTCTCCTCCTACTTCTCTTTGTTCCTCTATAGTCCTTTTCCCAAGCTCTGTCAGTTTCCTTTGCAAAAGGGGAGCTTCCATTCTCTATCAATCGCCCCCACTTTCCTGAACCAGATGCTTTTCTATCCTTGGATCGCTTTGTTGTTAGGGGATCCTTGTCTTGCTGCAGCTTTGCCCGAGAACTGGATCCAATTTCATCATTATGTCTGTGGTCAAACCTGGAGAAATATCTTCCTGAAGTATTATCACAGGGACAATTACGCTTTCTATGACCCAAGGCACCGCAGCTGTAACAAGCTTGCTGTGCTTTTGAATCATTGAGTTGGTTCAAAGTTCCTTCACTTATCAGCTCTGTTACTATTTTCTTTGGAGGGCTTTGTGCAGCAGGAGAACCACTGGAATACACAATTCGATTGTTTTCATCATCTTTCTTGTCATAACCTATGTAGCGGTTAAATTCCATTTCATGTTCAACATCATTACCATCAGACAGTTCATGGCATTTCCCATCCCACCTATTACCATCCATCAGGTTCAGTTCAACTTGACCACCTTGATTCAGCAAATCTTCCCCATAGTCATGATTGTCTTCCCTAGTGTATTCTTTAACATGGTCTTCATGGTAATCTATCTCCACATTAAGCAAGTCAGCAGAATTAAGCCTCACACCATGACTCTCTGGTTGTTCAATACTCATCTTGTAATCATGCTGAACGTTTAAATCCAACTTTCTATTGCCATAATCTCTACCTCTAGCAGAACTCCTAACTTTAAGTGGCTCCTGATCATAGGATTGATCAGCCCTAGCAAATTTTTTGAGAGGTCTAGGCTGTTTATTTGACCATGTGAGAGTTAATGGCTCCCCACAGATATTCCTTCCTTGAAGTGCTCTCAGAGCTTCCTCCGCATTTGAAGGGTAGTCATACACAACAAATCCAAAGCCATCTTTCAGCTGTACATTGCATCTTCCAAACCTTCTGAAAGCACGCTCAAGTTCATCCCTACGAGTGCGAGACGATAGATGGCCAATATACAAAGACATCTACAACAAAAATATTAAAAAAAGAAAGAGAAGAATGATTACACTCTTACAAAAAAGAAAATCAACTTATACACACTGCACAAATTTAACGATGTAGCATTATGCACACCATATTTTGGCGTTGACAGTTGCAAGAATAAATGATAGTTCAATGCTAACAAACATGCACTACTCAGGTTGGGGGGAAAAAGGGGCCTGTTACATTCCCTTAATAGAAAGTGCTAGACATCATTCAATTACTTATTTGCATTGCCAACATCAATAGTTATATAGACAAAGCTGTCCACAAATTTAACAACAACAACAACAACAACAAGCACCAACCTCCTTCAGATTTTCCCTTTATTAAAAAGGACGTTGAGCATGACCCGATTGAGTTAAGCATCGTAAAATACCCAAAAACATTACAACTTCATTGATTGTTAATAAGACCACAAAAATTGGTTCATGGGACCTACTAGATACACTAAGAGATGTGAGCCCTAAAAGTTAAACTTAAATAGCCATCAACAGACAAATATATCACTTAAGTATGGGCGTATACAAAAATTCCAATGCATATATACGATGATAAGCTTGGTTGGATTCCGGAGAGCCAATCTTTCAACAGCGATAGTTATATAGTTGTTGTCAGTTCTTATTTATCCGTACTTTATATACTCAGCTTCTCAATCGACCCAGTAAACAGCAAAGAAGAAAGCTAAAGATAAACACTCTAATCACCCCAAAAAAAGAAAAAAAAACCAAACTAAAAAATTTAAAAAAAATAAAAAGAACTAAATGAAGTTCCCCTTGAGCCAAACATTTGCTAGAAAACAATAACAAATTGCCAAAAAGGAAAGATTTTTATTTCTGAGAGGGAAAATGATCAAACATCTGATACGCACAAACAATAGCATCATCTCCATTGAATCATCTGATAACCTATGAGAAACCCAGATAAGAGAAACAGTAAATAAAGTAGACAAGTTGAAAGAAATGCAGTGATACCGGCAATCTTGGTGGAAAACAGCGAAGACAACCAGTTACTGTATAGCTGAATCTTTGTTCTTTCCTTCTTCCTTTTCTTTCTCTTCTCTCTCTCCCTGTCAGAGGAGTGAGGTCAGTGGCGTAAATCTGGTGTTGGAAGAGTTTTTGAGTGGACTTTATGTGCTCTGTGGGCCCTTCCACTTTATGGTCAATGGTTTTCAACACCCTTTGTCGTTTTGTGGGAGATGTAATAAAATGCTAATTGACATTACTGCTTGAGTTTATATACATGCATACATGTAAGGGACATGAACACAACTCAATTACATCATTCATCTCCTAAGAGTTTAAAAATAAAATTGAATTAATATTAGATAGTGAGAAATCATAAATATGCAATCCTAAAGGTAGAGTATTACGGTGTGTGAATAATCAATCGGCACATTGACATTACTACTTTTAAATAGGTTCACATAATATATATATAAAAATTTTTATCTAAATGTTTCAATCAATGAGTTAAATGTTCAGGTGTGAATACGTACATGTAAGTTTAATATTAATATTAATCACAATTAGGAAAGAAATAAATAATTAATAAGACATCAAAAATATTAACAAATGGTAGCAATGTTATCAAGGTCAACTAAGTAGTCAACAAGAGGCTAAACCTTAATGTTGTATCTGGTATTAGAAATGTAAATAACATTCTTTGTAATGTAAATGGATTAATTATATTACAATGTTTTGAGACAATAAAAATTAATGTAATCTAATGTAATATTATATTGACATCACATTCTCATCAAGAGAGGGAATCACATTGATAATGAAAACCAATATAATATTGAGAAAGTAACAAAATCTGATTTAAGTTAAATTACCCTTTTCAGCACGTTTGGTTCGTAGAATAGACAAGAATAGAATAGAATAGTTATTATGTGAGAATAGAATAAAATATGAATAGAATAAAATAGTTATTACTTTGTTTGGTATGGTGAATGGAATAGAGCAGGAATTGTTACTATGACTTATTGTATTGTTTGGTTGGTAGAAATAAGATTAGAATAAGAAAGGAATAGGTGAAATAACCTTGATTATATTAACATTTATTTTCATAAAAAATTAAAATTATCTTTATTATAATTTAAATACATATTTATCCTAAAAGACAATTATCCATCATAATTATATTTTATCCCAAATGCCAAAAATAATTATAATTTAATAATTATTTTAAACTATAATTTAATTATGTTATATTTTATCCATCATAATCAATTAAATTTGTGCATAGATGTTTATTTTTATTCAATTCTTCTCATATTATGAATCATTTTCAATATATTCTATAGACAATATTGGAGAAGAAATATTTAGGAAAAAAGCATAAAAACAAGAAGAAATAGAAAATCATGTTTTTTGATATATTATATAGAAAATCATATCTTTGAAATTAGAAAGATGGTCTTCCATTTTTTTCTAAAAAAAATATAAATTATGTCTTTTGATATAGTTAATAGAAAATCATATTACCTTTCAAAAAAAAAAAAGAAGAAAATCATTCTTTGAACCAAGCATGTGGTGCTGAGGAAACATTAATGCCAAAAAGAGAAATAACGTGCCTGTCAATTTAGATAAGCATTCTATCTCTGTCAACAAAATGACAATTTACAAGCATAACTAGTGCATATTAGCATGGAAAGCAATAGATAATGAAAGAGCCTTGTCATTCTATAAATGCCCTTTAGATGAAAATATTATTACATATAATCAAAAGCCAAGGTTTAGTTTACAAAAATACTCTAACCCTGAAAGTAATGGATGAATATTCATCGTATTATACTAACTTACCACATGCATAAAACCAATAAGGTAGCTACAATAACATCACCATTATACAACCAGCAACACAACGGTCAACTCAAAAGAGTTCAGACTTGTTAATGAACCTCATAATGAGTATCAACATCAACCACAAGTGTCAAAAAGTTACAATATCATGAACTTACCTTCACAAAAAGTTTTAGAGCCATTCAAACTCAACGATCAGCAAGAAATGTCCTCAACCATTCAAGTCTTCGTTCAGGATCAATACTAAAAAACACAAACATAAGAGTTGGAGATTCAGGAAGCTTAATTGAAGCAAGAACCATTTCCCTCACTGTCAATCCCTCTACTTGACTTAAAATCCCATCCAACTGTTGAGCCTTTTGTTGGATGTTCACCTCTGCCCCAACACTTTTGCTAAACTCAATTTCAGCCTCTTTTATGTTTTCACCCAATATAGTGGCAGCAGTAATAATTGATTCGGATGTAATGGGATTGCCTATCTCATTTGGCCTTTTCCTCTTCCTTGCTGAAGTAGTTTCACTTCTAGGAGCTGATGTTTGAGGTTGACTATTGGAGAAATCCTCATCATCGAAACTATTTCCAGCTAGGTTCTCACCTTCAGTTTCCTCATTTACTGTATCATTACATTCTTCCATCTCTTCAAGGATATCTGCTTCAGTTTATGCATCTTTTCCTGTTACACGATCTCTTGCATAAATAAGACTAAGCTCATTGAAGAAAGGAAAACTATTTCTTCTAAAAGGGGTAGCTTCCTTATGACTCTAATAACAAAAAAAAAAGACTATTAGTTATATTATTATTAAGAAACTAATATGAAAATACTTAAATAAGTTCAACCCAAAAACTTACCTGTATGTAAGATTCCCATA